AGATGACATTTCTTCGTATTTCTACCTATACTAGAATTTGGGGGTGGTATATATGTAATATTCTATTGTTTAACGATATGTCATGACATCAGCGGCGTGGCTGCCTTTAAGCCATTAAGCCCTGGGCCGGGTTGTTCAAAGCAGGGTTAAGATAAACCAGGTTTAGTGCGCAATTGGAATTCAGATATGAAAGCTAAAAAAGCAAATTCAGTTTTATTCTTTTTGCCTACAATTTGATGATTGGATGCTCTAAAAAGAATAGAGAAAATTATCCGGGAAAATGCTTTTGAACAAAAGAAAAAGAAACCCAGGTTAAAATTTAACCCTTAGCGCCTATCGCCTTCGAACAACTGGGCCCTGGCTTATTAAAACAGGAATCTGAGCAAAAATAAGTGCAGGTTATCACGTGTTCTTAAAAACGTTTTCTCGATCGAACTAAAAATGGGCAATTCTAGAGCCAAGAGTCTGCTGTCGGCAACATCTTTGCTGTTCGCAGAGAGCAGTTTACTTTTTTCGAACTTAGATTTGGAAGCAAGTACCACTACCTAAATTGTTTGCACTAATGTTGTTCCGTTGTATCGCTGTTTTGCTGCTTATAAACAGTTTCAAGGCCCCCTTGCTTAGAACGTCTATCCCAGGCACTCTGCATTTTTTACGCGGGTACCAATGACGATCTGTTCAGGCACGACTTCTTTACAGTTCCACGGACGCTTCACCTCTTTTCACAGCGTTTGTATTTTTAATTCTATTTCAGAAACTTTTGCAGTTGCACTGTTAAAGAGTTTATTTCTTTTTTTGTTTTTTGGTTTGCTTTCTTTTCAAGTGCATTTACCTTTATTCAAGAGCCTTTCCCCATTTGTTTTTTGTTTTTGTTTTTGTTTTTTCTTGTAAAAATATTTTTTATAGTGTTATTAATAACTTCACAGGAATTCAGGCCTAAGGAGTAATCACCGATCGTTTATTTGTATTGTTAATTTTTTCACATTTTTTAAGAAAGAAAATCATTTTATCTTTTTTTTTTACGGTCGCCGCACAAATCTGGCGATATCAATTGCAAGAGCCATATTTTTGGTGAGAATGCGACCACCATACCCCACCACCCCACCTCTTTGCACCGCAAACCTCATCGCGGGCTCCACGAATAGCTCGAAAAATATTATAGTCTGTTGCGCGACTCACGGTCGCCCAGGCCGCCCAGAGCTAGGATAATTTGCTTTTGCTCCTGGGTTCAAGACACTGATTCGATGCAGAAAACTTGATACATGGTGTGCAAAACACGCTTCACCTGTGCAATGTGGAATGTTTCTGTGATCAAGAGGAAATAGACTGTTAAAAACGGTACCGGACTGTAAGCATCGGATCATTCGCTACAGCCGCAGCGATGTCGAAAGCTAAGAACAAACTGAACTTGACGATAGCCCCGACTGCTTCTCCGGATCCAGTAACTCCGTGAGTAAATGGATGTTTTCGGTGATTTCTTCCTAATTCCGAGCTCAAACGCACCTTGAATTGTGTAATTTCGCATAGGCACATTGCTTGTTACTCACTACTGCTTTCGTATTTTATTCCTTGTTCTCCAACAGAGATGATGCGGCAGGGATCGGCTCGCAAAAGGTGGAAGAAATACGAAAGAAAATGGACGAGCTTGAACTGGACACCTTGCAACGTGAAAGGCTTGAGGCGTTTCTGGCGGAGAAGAGGAAAATTGGAGAGCTGAACGCAGAGGATTTCGATAAATTGGCTGAATTGGGCGCTGGGAATGGCGGCGTTGTGACCAAGGTCTTGCACAAGCCAAGTGGGCTTATAATGGCTCGAAAGGTGAGCTCGCAGACGAGAATATCTAGAACCCAATTAATCCCAGCCGAATAAATTTTCAGTATCATAATAACACGATCGTGTTTGCATGTAATTCTCCTGATTTCATTTCCCAGGGATCGCTCATATCCTCTCTTAAAAGCGGTTCAAGGCATTATGTCGCTACTGTTCAGAGTTTAATACGTGCGTACAACCTCCTGGAATTTATGTCTATTTTTGTACATTTTTTCAAAGAACGCATGTTTCCTTTCATCCATAGCTCATTCACTTGGAAATCAAGCCCTCCATACGCAACCAAATCATTAGAGAACTAAAGGTTTTACACGACTGCAACTCTCCGTACATCGTGGGCTTTTACGGAGCGTTTTACAGCGATGGAGAGATCTCCATTTGTATGGAACACATGGTAAGATATGGGGAATGTTTCAAGTACTCTAGCAAATGGAATTTGCTTTTTGTTGCGTTCTACGCAGCAAAGCACTGAGCAGCTATGCACGTTCTAGCATTTATTCATCTGCTAAGAAACAAAACGCAAATCGCAGAATGGCAATTGATATATTAATTATTTACTGGTTTTGTAGCCCACGTCGCCAGTCCAAACGCCATGCACACAACTTTGCAGGTTTTTAGCTCTGTTTTGCAACGATCGCTTTTTTGTTAGTCATATTTAGCGATGATTTTTGATTCGTGCAAGATGAAAGTACGTCCACCCCGGAGAGCGTTTAGGGGAAGGGATTTCGTGTTGTAGCGTTTACTTTCTCCTTGAGATTGTGTTTGAATTACTAACATCAGTTTATTGTCAGAGGTCGATGGTTTGTACTGTGAGTTTCTTTGTGCATAACTTTTCATTTCCTGCATAAATGTAAATTTTACGCGTTCAATTCTTGCCCGGGACTCTTTGTGACTGCAGCAAATCGTCTTGTATTTAATGTATTTGTTCTTGGTAAAATATTCCAAGTTCGATAGCATTTTTTTTAATGCAATGTACTCCCTTCACAAAAGTAGCCAAATTTATTCCCCAGAGTATTAATATATGTTCGTTCTGACCATTAATATTACCTCTGCAAACACAGTTTAATATTTTTCTGTTGTGTTAATTATTAGGTGGCCTTGGCTTACTCAGCCTCAAATTCATTTGTTGAATTTAACCTTTTTTACTTAAAATATAGGTTAAATTATGTTTAGCGTGTGCATGCTGACTTAGCCATTGATTTTGATCTTGAGTTCAAAGAGGGATTTTTCAACTCTGTACAAAGCTGCATTTGAAAATACTTTACAAGCTCCACACCTGCAAAGTGTATAATTTGCATACCCAAGATAATGCTTTGTGTTTTTCACATAACAAACCCATATTTTGGACACTTAAGAAGTTCTGATTCGGCACATTTTGCAATGTAAATTTACCTAGATGCCTTACAGAACAACATGTATATTACCCATATTGTTTTGTACTGCCTTGTATACATGTAAGTCATATCTTTCCAACCTTAAAAACATAAAGTAAAATTTTCTCTTTGAACCGTGCTCAATAGATCCAGCCGTAATATCTCATGAATTAATTTTGTTATGTTCGTCATGCATTTGTTTAGGGTTTTTGCTGTCATTTTTTGCCTTAAATTATTTGGTAGACAGTTGGAACCACTCAGTAAATAAGTGTTTACTTTGCATCCTTGCTTCTTACAACCCAGTTAACATTTTGGTTGCCAAAATATTTTTACTGAATAGCCTTCCAACAGAAGTGACATGCTGATGTTTGTTAACTTAAGATTAATCTGCTTGAAATTGTCAAAACAACTGACTGATAACAATGTTGATTGTTAACCTTGAACACTGATCAAACTATCTTCTGATTCTGTGCCCTCCACTTTTGTCTGAGACCCTTTTCACACCAACAATCAAATTAGAGTTCGTCTGAAAAGAAAGCAAAGTTGGCAGTTTTTATCTAAAAGGCTATACCTGTTTAGGAAGTTTCTAACAGCAACAATCTGTCATAACAGTATTTTATTTTATACATTTTCATTTTTTGTGGCCTGCTGTCAATTCAACAATGCTGGTGCAATTATTTTTAGGGCCAGCCATAGTCTGTCTTTATGAAACATTTGCTTTTTCTTTTTAACTAACTATTTCCTCTCGGGGGGAGGGGGGAATTTGTTTCTTCATTTACGGGGAAATCATTCTTCTTAATATCACAATTAACTTAAAAGTTAAGTAAATGTAATCGTCTCTGCTCGCTAAAAGTACTGAACAAATCTTTGTACAGATGGCAAAATACTGCATTTTTGAGAGTCTTTTGAAAGAGCACTAAGGTTTAATGAAGAGAGAAAACTTGATATAACATTGGGAAGGGTTACCCAGTGCGGGGGGAAATTGATGTCAAATTTCAAAGTAAGAGTTTCTCCATCCTTTTGAGTTGTTAGTTTTATCCCGCATTTGAGCTGCTTAAAACTTACCATTTTTACACGTTGTTGACTTGATGTGGTTATTTTGTTTTGTAATAAAGGGTGTTGGAATTTGAGAGCTGTTGTGCCATGCAACAGCGAAAAATGACCACTGAAAACGCTGTCATACAGTTACAACAAAAAGTTATCTTTTGAGTCATTGAAACCTTTTTCAATGGTCCCTGTACTAGCATGAGTATTAATTTCAGTGTTGATGAACTATCAAGTTCTGAGTAATTGCTCTTTTAGCAAGGTTGGATAACATGTTTCTGGTTGCCATTTTGGTGTCCCTCTGAGGAAAACCAAAATGGCATCTCCATACTTAGTTGCTATTTTTCAGCAAAATTTTTCTTCAAATTTTTTGCTTGTGAAAAACCATACATACACTTTGTATGACTGGTTGTGTGTAAGTCTTGTATCATCTCTGGTTCTCAACTAGATTTATATGAAGATTTCAATTTTTATTTTAGAGGGCATGAAATGAACTACCAGCTATAAGATCTATTTTGCATGTAGCTGTCTCTTCTAAACATCAATCAGAAATGTATTACAATAATATTACAAAAACCTGGGAGCTCCAGCTGGATGCTAAGTTCTTTCAGATGACAAAGGGATTATGGTCAAAAATAATGGAAGACAATAATTTTTAAAACATTGTTCAAAGAAAAATATGTTTCATTTCTCATATTTGCCACTCATAAGAAAAAAAAAGGCATATTTCACATGGTAAATGTAATAACCCATCCAACTCGCTGTCTTTTATAAGAGGGCAGAGTTCTCCTTATATTAGGTACTTAACGCTAGGCGGACCAAGTGGCTTAATTCACTGGAACCCTGTTGCTGCCTGGCTTAAAAACCAAAGATTTAACCAAACGGATGTTTATGTAGACATTCAGAGCTAGGTATTTGAAAGACAAAATCACTCAGTGGAGGAAATGAACCATTGTCTGGTGTATTTATTTGTTTTTTTTGTTGTTGTTGTTATCGCAAAGTATTGATTATAAAGTGGTTTACCGTTGGATGAATATTTCTAAACCTGTGATGCATTCACTTTGTTTAACAGCCATGCACCATCTTGAATTATTTTTCCAAAAACACTACTAAAGGAAATTACTTCACTTGCAGTCAACCCAAGATGTGCGGAACAAAAACAAAAAGCTTGTCAAAGCAAATTGAGTTCTTTTTTTACAACTTAAACTAAGTTCCCAAGTCAAAAAATTTTTATTCAGGCTACAGCAGGCTTCGTACAAACACCATTGAAACTCACAAAACTTCCCAAAATCCTAGGGAGAACACTGAAGGATTAAATTAAGCATTGATAATAGAAGTAGTATGTCTTTGATGTTATTTAGACTACAAGTAGTCCCCATTTTTCCTCAGGGATCTCATGTCGCCTTTTCTTGCGTGGGTTGATTTTCATGCACGCTCACGTTTTGCTCACTCTACTACCCCTGAGGAAAAATGGGGACTACTCGTAGTCTAGATATTATCTGTCTCTTTCTTTGAGTACTTCTCATCATTATACCACCTCTCATCTTGTACAGTGCCGTCAAACCCCATCCTGAATATCCATTGCTGCTTTCTAGAGGCCAGTAGTAAAACATGTGACAATGTATAAGAAATATACAGAGGAAAATAATTGTTTTTACTTGTCAAAGCTTTTCGTTTTGTGGTATTCTCCCTCCAGGACATGCTTTGGGTGGAAAAGATTGAACAGGCCAAGCCCCCTGAGGCCCAGTTGAAACGTCGATCTTTCCGTGTACCAAACCTATTCCCTTCAATTAAGTACATGAAAAGATTTACATTTGAACCAAACCTAATTCATGAATTACTGTAATTTCTTTTGACTGGAAAGCATTGTAGATCGATCATTGCACGTCATGAAAATAAATAGGCCACTTCAGAGTTCTAAAAACCCTCACTTTCAAAATGGGGCCAAGTGCACAACCTTTCTTGTGAAAATGAGTTTTATTTGCATGAGAATGAAAAATCATTTCCATATGAAAGGCTGAGCACTTAACCTTGTTTTGATACAGAGGCCCGGGGACACGTTTGAAACAACAGTCGAGCTTACATCATTTGGGTCTACCCTAATAGACATTAAGTTCACTACATGAAAAGTTCAACATTTGAACTGGACCTGAGTGCTCTGAACCTGCGAAATCTATCTAGGGTGTCCACTATACAAGTGTTAGGTGCCAGAGTTCATCGGCACTGCTAGAGAACAATCCTGTTTCTTCTCTTGCAAGGTCACTTAAGCTGCCTTAAGTTAATATTCTGCAGAACATTGCTCGTTGAAGGGTTTGTAGTAAAATATTATTCATTTTTAAATGTTTAGGATGGTGGCTCCCTGGATCAGATTCTTAAGAAGGCTGATCAACTACCTGAGGACATTTTGGGAAAAATAACAGTTGCTGTAAGTGCTAATTTTCAACAGATTGAGCAAGCATTATCTGAATGTGATGAGTAATTTTCTGTTTGCATGATGGGCATTCTTGATTGTTATGCTTTACTCTCTGTGATACCTTTCCCAAGGACTCTTCGAGTAGTGCATGCTGGCTTACAGCTTGCCTGAATGGCAATCTGTAAAACTGACTTTCTCTTCACCCTGGGCTAGGCAGATGGGCTACAACCATCAAGTTACCATTTTGATTTGTGCTGAGCTCAAATGGTCATCTCATTTTAGTTTTCCCTGTCATGATATATAATTTCGAGATTGGCAATTCCTTGTGGAATGGCTTAATTCAGGAAGAATGAAGTGGCTCAAAAGTCTTAAGATAAGAGATTGTGGGGTTGATTATTTCAAATCATAATATATTTAATATATTTTTTTTATGGTTGATATACTTTTGATTGAATTTTATTTTCATTTAATAGGTTCTGAAAGGCTTGAGTTATCTCAGAGATAACCACAAAATAATTCATAGAGGTATAGATACATTCTTTAAGTTGATTAACGTATAAAAATAAACATTTACGTTATACCTTGTAATTTTATAATTAATGAATCCAGTCTCTTCAGTGGTATCTAACTCACTGGTTTAGATTGTCTTGGGCAAGATGTGTATTGCATGCTTTTCTATTATTTTGATTTGTTCTGCTTTATTTACGTTAAGGGCCAGGTGCCAGCGATTTTCCCCAGCTATTATGAACATGACCCTGCCTACTTTTGCAGGAAAATTGAAGAAAAATAGAGCCAAACATATTGCCTTCTAGCTGTTTGATTCCCCACCTACTTGTATCATATATGCAGCAACTTGAAATTGTATTAACAGCCCTGTATTTATGAGACCAGAGAAGCAAATACACACATGGCTGGCACTTTGAAGTGGATATTGCAGTGCTGGATCCAGACCTTGAGATGGGGGGGCAGGCGGTCATCCTGACCCAGAGATAAGGATGGGAGGGGCCGTCCCTAAAAAAAATTTTTCAGCCCTTTGGGACTCAGTTTTGTCTAAAAATAGTGGGGAGCAAGGGTGGCACAGTGGTGAGAGCACTCGCCTCCCACCAATGTAGCCTGGGTTCAAATCCCGGCGACGATGCCATATGTGGCTTGAGTTTGTTGTTGGTTCTCTCCCTTGCTCCAAGAGGTTTTTCTCCGGGTACTCCGGTTTTCCCCTCTCCTCAAAAACCAACATTTCCAAATTCCAATTCGACCAGGAATCAGGTAGACGAAGAACCACTATGTAGATGTGCTACCTGCAAATGGTTATTTATTTAAAAATAAGGGCGGGCCCCTCCCCTACAAACTGTAGACCCGCCACTGTATTATGGACTAGCTGTGAGAAACACATTTTCACACCTGGCTGTAATAAAAATGCACTTTAAAATGGTTGTTTGCTTGAACAGCACTTTTAAGTGGAAAAATTACGGTAATCAAGAACAAACTATGGACCGGTCTATGGTACATGAAAATTGTGATACATTGTGTTGTTCAGAGTGTTTTGTTTTACAAGCACTGATTTCCGAGCTGCCTATTATGTAGTCATATGCACTTTACACAACTTTGAATTTAGCTGCCGTAACTTTTAAGTGAAATAATTTACAAACCTGAAAAATGAAGTATGGTGCTTTATAAGCGTAATACTCAATGCATGCTGTGCTAGTAGTCACGTGCCATTTTCAGAATATTTAGAGCTGTGTAGTGTTTTTGGAATTACAATAATTATTTCACATCTGGCTCTGAAGTAAGCAAAACCTGTGTAGGCTTGCAGTAGAAGCATAGATGTCAAAATACAAGCAAAATGGACAACTCTAGTGTCTACCTTGATAAAACTCCCCCACTACGTAGCCACTCACAAAGATCACTGAATTCCAACAGAACTGGCTGGCTCCAGTTATGAACACTTTTTCCTGCTCCTCTAGGGCCTCTTCTTGACCATTTGATACCTGAATTTTGAGAGTTTAACAATGTATTGTCATCTTACTCATAATTTTATGGAATCTGATAGTTCATGATGTATTATGCTTAATTTATTATATGTTTTGGCCTCATCTGCACCATAAATTCATTTCCACCAACAGAGTTTTATATTGCCTTTTTTGTACAATGCATCAAAGGTAGTTTTACAATGTTTGTTTGTTGTGTTTGGCAAAAGCTTTTATAAATTTATTACATGCGAACTGTAGCCTGCGTGCAGACGATAACTAAACTCTGATTAGTACCGTCTGCGAAGCAGCGCAGAGATCCTTGTTCTGGGCCCCCAACGGACTCAACAAATTACCGGAAGTGCGTTTCGAATTCCCCTTCAACCTGATTGGCGATCACGACAACCAAAACAAAGGCCTTTTTTAACTGGCCAATCGTGGCGCGTACTCAAATCTGGGTACACAGCTGGAAGTCAAGAACAAGGATTTCGGCGCTGTTTCGCAGACGGAGTTAACCAGAGTTTAATTTCGTCTGCGCGCAGGCTAGCGAACTGTGGCATGTTGATTTTTTTAACAGATGTAAAGCCATCAAACATTCTAGTAAACTCCCGTGGAGAGATCAAGCTGTGTGACTTTGGAGTCAGTGGACAGCTAATTGATTCCATGGCAAACTCTTTTGTTGGTACAAGATCATACATGTCGGTAAGCTTACTTGTTACTGGTAGCTTATAAGTAGCAGTTCTGAAACCAAGATGTGAGGGAATAATTTTATTATTTATTCTGAAAAACAGGTCATGCCTTGATTCTTTCCTCTCTGAAACCTTGTGCAATGTTTATTTAAGGGGAGTGCTAATACTGAGTATTATTATTATTATTACAGTTGAAGCACTCGTGAACGACCACCTCAGAAATTCAAAGAAGTAGTTGTAACTCAAGCTGGTTGCTTACGAGATTGAGCACTCATAAAGTGACCACACAGTAAAACAATAGAGGGTGGTCGCTTATGAAAGCTTCAGAAACGCATTAATAATTTATAAGAAAAAACAAGGCGTGCTAAGTGGTTACTATGGAAATGACCTGGAACTTTTACAAATACAATACTGCACTGTATAAGATCTTTATCAACTAACCATTAGTGCAGTGTGCAGTTTCATTAAACTGTTGATTTATTTGAACAAGACTCTGAGTGGTTGCTTACGAGAGCTTACAGGAGCTTTTCATTACAAAGTTTTGACAGGGTTTCTCAAAGGTGGTTGTAACTAGAGTTGGTGGCTTACGAGAGTGCTTGCAAGGAGAGCTTCTAGTGTATTATTTGTATTATTATTATTATTGTTATTATTATTATTATTATTATTATTATTAGATACTCTTTCCTGGATAAGAGCTAACGTGTCTTTCGCCATCGTACGCTCTGCAATACTATGCTTGAGAGGCTCAAGATCAAGAAGACAACAGCTAGACTTTGTTCACTCAGATGTACAGATCGAAAACATTAGAGCCTGCCCAAATTAATCTTTTTTTAGAAACATTTTAAAGATCGTTTTTGATTTTAGAGGCTGATAAGCATAATGGATGGTTTTGTCAAGCACATGTCTTACAATGAATTTATATACATATATTTTTCAACTATCTCGTATACTTTTAGTTTGAGAATTTCATGTATGTTTATGGCGAGGAACTATAATTACCCCACTGTAGTTTTTTCTTTCTTTTGTGTCTAGGTTTTTACAAGATTTGATATTTAAGTTGTTGATTACAGTTAGATACTCCTCAAAGTAAATGCAGTTAACTCAGTTGACATGCATAATCATGTTAACAGCATAAATTTTCCCTATTTTTCAGCCTGAGAGACTTCAGGGGGCAAATTACTCAGTTTTGTCAGACATCTGGAGCTTTGGCTTATCATTAGTTGAAATGGCAATTGGCAGATATCCAATTCCGCCACCAGAAGAAAATGAACTTGAAAAAAATTCAAATTATCAATCACACATTCTCAGACTTGCCCCTGGAGCAAGACCACCGGGTGGAGTTAATAATGATACCACAAAACCAATGGCAATATTTGAGCTCCTGGACTACATTGTGAATGAGGTAAATACATTTATCTATGATGTTGAGCGACTGTCTTGTCATGTATCGTAAAGAGTTTTGAATTCTTGTAAATGTCTTGAAATTTGCAGCGCAGTTTTCCAGACCTGGAAAAGTAGAGGTTAATTCTGGAAAAATGGTAAAAAGTCTAGAGTTTTTTTCTTTTTCAAAGCTACAACAAGTACTTAATAAGTGAATTTTTTTCCGTGGTCAAATCCCTTTCAATCTTGCCTGTGGCCAAGACATTTAATCACAGATGAGAAGTTTCTTTAATTCTTATATGTCCGCATTGTACCGTGATTACTGACGTTTGAAGTGCATCTTGAAAAAGGTTGATCCCTGCGTTTTTCAAGGTCTCTGTTGACCACCTATTTGGTAACCTTGAGTCTGGAAAATAAACTATTGTTTGGAAAAAGTCTGGAAAAAGTCTTGAATTCTGTACGAGCCTTAATTGTGTACCAGGCAACTAATAGCCAACTACTACATTATTTATTTCATTAGCTGGTAGGCAGTAATTATTTTTATATGAGTTAGCTGCAGATGATATGTAACATCCCAGGACTAAGGAGGGGAGGCATGATTTCAAGTGGTAGGGATGATCAATGGTATGGATGATCAATTGGGGGCAGAAATCAAAATCCCCCACAAATAATCACTTTCCAATTTTCCGAGCCACTAGAGTTCACTTTCTAGTAAAACAGCAAATGGGAATTCCTGTGATGATAAAGCTGAGCAACTATGTTGGATTAAAAAAAAGAGTATTTAAAGCTTTTTTCTATACACCTTGGGTCACTTCACAGAGTATTGCTTAACCATTTTTTGGAACATGTGCAATGTAAAATGTTGTAATAATTAGAGCAATTTTTGTTTGACCTCGAAATAAAAATGCGCAAACAAAACAGAAATGACAATCAAATGGAAAAAGAGTGATTGGTTCATCGAACGGATACAAACGCGCATGGCTTTTGGTTGGTTAAGCGAATGCTTGGGTGAAAAAACTTCATGCCTGAGAACTTTCTAGATATCAATCGATACTTCACCTTGATGTCATACTGCAACACGATTGGCCAATCGAACAATGTCCTCTCCGTATTAGGGTTTTCTTTGGCGGGAAAACAAAGAGTCCATGTTTTGGTCTTTTCATCCATTGGCTGATGAAACAAATAACGAACACTTACTGAAACCATTTTTCAAGGTCATACGAAAATCGCTTTAATTATTAGAACAACCACTAAACAAGTTTGGTTGGACCTTACTGGCAGAGCTACGCAGCCAGCATATGTGGGTACCACCACAAATCATCAGATTGCTTTGAATGCCCCCCAAAATCCTTTCTTCACTCACAAATAAGGACTTACCAAATTTTTCTTTTACCCCCCAAAAATATTTCAATCATCCCTGTCACTTGAAATCTGGAGTACCTTCCAGTTTCTGAGTTGTCTTCCAGCAGTTGTATCACTTCTAAACAGTTTCTGTCTTCTCTTTCGTAGCCTCCTCCCAAGCTGCCAACTGGTCTTTTTACAGATGAATTTTGTGAGTTTGTGAACAAATGGTAGGTGTCCTATCAGATCCAGTATGATGATCATTGTGGCATTTAAACTAAAGGCCTTAATTTTTATTGCTTGAAATGGTATGATCCAAAAATAAAAACATTTTTTATTGTTCAAAAGATAGACGTAATACGAAAATACAGAGCCAGTTTCCCAAAATTCAAAATGAAAAACTTTTTGTTTGTCCTTTTTTATCACCTAAAAGGTTTAACTTAACTTCGCTTAAATTGTTCATGTCATAAGCTCTGTCAGTCGGTACGAACTGTATGTGTGAATGGTTATGTTATTTTTCTCGAAATTCTTTTGAGTGATGAATATTAAAAAATGCTTGTTTCTCAAAACTCCAGACTTAAAAGTTGATCATGCATCTTGAAACTTAATTTGTTCGCATCGTGAATCAAGTTTTGAGGATCTGCTTCTTGTTGTATACTTGCAACAAAGGAGATATACTGTTGATAAGGTCATCCCGGTAAACTAATTAAAACTACAGGTTGAGGTACCCTGGCAGTATTGGTTAGGTAAAAAAAAAAACCCTCGCAGTGATTTTGTTACCTCTGCATGTTGCATCCCAGACGCTTCAAAATCCCCAAAGACGCAAAATACTTCATGGCATGCATCCCATAGGATGTAAAGAATTTGGTAGAATATCCTGCTCATGTGAATTCTGTGGCTGTTGTTTAAAGATGCATATTTATTTTAGTCTTTTTCGTGCTTTAAATAAATAGAAGGACTATATTTTAATTTCAGTAAACCATAATAAAGAGTTTTGATCTCTGTCTCCAGATTAACTGTCTATAAGTTACATAAAGACCCGAGCATTTTCAATTTAAGACTCCTTGTTTTCTTTGAACAAGGAGTCTCTGGATTTGGACAGGGACTCATGATTTTTCACAAGAAAAATTTTTTCACCATAACTATTAAGAACATGACTGCCCTTGCACCCTGATAGTATTTATGTCCTAATAAATTTAAAGTTTACCAATCAATGGGCTCCTAGAAATGTGGTGCGGGCTCCTAACTTTTTATTTTAGGAACCTAGAGGACTCCTAAAAAATTTCTTAGACAGCGGCCTTGCCTCTGACTGTTTACTTTCATGAGGCATTACAACGGTTTAACAACTTTATTACACCAATTTTTGGTTCGAAAGGTTCTTCATTTTGCAATAGAGGACACTTAAACAAGGCTGTGCTCTAAGGAAAATGGAGTCTGGTGCTTTGAAACTGTAAAATCCAGGGTGCCCAGCACATGATTTGTATGAAACAATGAAGATTTTCTAGTTGTCTGAGAGCAAAAGTTAGGCGCCACAGGTCACCAGGCGCTGCTAGAGCACAGCCCTGCTTGAATTTCCATCTTTTGCTTGCATTGATGCGGCATTTAGATGGCAGCAGTGAAGGCCCTCATGTAGCTTAAAAATGTTACCGATTTTTTCAGATTTTGCTTTCCTTGTCTCAGAATAAATATTACTTTCATCCTTATAAGTTCCCTAAGGAGGGGGCAAGTGTTCTCACCACTGCGGCACTCTTCCTCCCAAAAATAAACTCACTTTTCTCTTTCAGTCTTGTAAAGAATCCGTCAGAAAGAGCAGACCTAAAGTCTCTAATGGTAGGTTTTGTTTGCTTCACTGCTAATTCTCAGTGTTCAGCATTGTCTTGCTAAATAAATTTTTTTTATGTGCGGTGGATTTGTCCATTTTAGCCGACAAATGTTCAGCAGATTCCTCACTGTGAAAATAACATTAACATTAACATTAACATTAACCTATTTGTCCTTGACAATTTTGTTGAAGTTAGTCGAGCGGTTTTCTAGTCACTGTCTTGCTACAAAGAGCTAAACCTTTCACAAAGCCGTTTACAGGTCGTATACTTGGCGGCCTTCTGATCCAGATGTAGAATAATTATTATTGGCTTGCAAAGTTCGGACAAAGTTCTTTTCCTTTTCTCTCCTTCCCTGTTCTTTCCCTTTTGTTGCCTTGTTTGTTTTTTTCTTTTTCTGAACTTTTAGTAGGTTTCACTGAATCGTGTTCATTCTGGTATGGTTTGAAAGATCTCCACACAATTTAGCAGACAAAGTTGTCCTTGACCGTTAAAACTGATGACATCACAAATGATAGAAGGGACATGGATCTGCACAGTCGGTTACGGGCGGTTCAGGGGCGAATGGGTTAATAGTAATTTTTAAGTTTATATAGTCTCCACTCATATCAAAGTCCATTATCAGTCATCAAAATGAGGTATCCCCTTTGTTTCCGCAGAATCATCCATTTGTGAGGAAAGCAGAGGCGACACAAGTAGACTTTGCAGGCTGGGTGTGTAATGTGGCTGGTCTATAGCAAGCCTCAAGAATTGGGTGAAAATGAACAATACTGTTAGAGAACAGGTTACCCTTACCCTTATTTAACTTGTGTCACAGGAATGAGAAAAGTTACAAGAAGAGAGGAGAGCATAAGCTATGGAATTTATCTAAATATGGTGTGTTTTGGATTGCAGTATAAAGAGAGTGCAGTGCATAGATTGGAAGCATTTTATTCTTCACATGGTGTATGTCGCAATGTTTAGAGGATGCGCATTGACATATTTAACAGGTCATTCAAGGCCCTTCTGGCCTGCAGCATGTTTATGGCTGGTTTCCAATGCAACTTAACTGTTTACAGGCAGTTTCTCTGTAATGGTTGAGAGAAGGCATCCGTGAGAAACAAAACCACATCAGGTGGTGCCAGGTGCTTAATCACACTTCTGTCAGTTTGTTGCATGCTGATGCCAGTCAAGCTTAAGTTGTGAGCAATATGATTGGATTACTTTGCAACACTATGCGAATGTTTTGTGTCAGTGATTCCGCCAACGTCCTGTTTAAATTCCTCAACCCCTTGAGCCTTAATGGGAATGAACATCTAATTTCTCCTTACAGTCTCACTGCTTCATTCAGTATAAAGGTCATATGGGAATGAAGAAAATAATCACCAAAGTTATTTCCTGTCTTTAATAATCAAAACAAATTCCAATGATAAGAATTTAATGAGAACAGTATGTGGAAAAATACATTTTGGTACAGTCAAACCTCCTTGACGCTTCACTTGCCATATTAATACGTTATCAAGAAGAAAGGTTTAATATAAGAATTAAGAAAATGATCATCGAAGGAAACATGCTCTGATCTTTTATCAAATTCTCCTAACTTATTCCATAAAAAAAGGTTTTTAGATCAGTCTGGAGAATTTGTTTATGGATGCTGGGGCACAAAGGGTAAATTTGGACACCAAAGGGACAGAGACAAGTGCCTGCATTACAGTGCCTGCAGTGTAGAGGGAAAAATGAATATTGTTTGAAGTTCTCATCTTATGGACCAAGAGAGCTGTCTGTGGTAGAGAGCTTTGTAAGGAGAGATTTGACTATTAGCGCTTAAGGGTTTTAACAAGCTAACTTCATTGAGTTAACTGCAAATCCTCAATTTTGTGCCCTGTCTCTGCTGTGTTGTGTTCATCTTTTGCCTAGGGTCAAGTTGTTTCAAGACCAGTTTAAGGGTGGTTAATCTAGGTATTGTTGCCATGACAACTGAGTAGGCTGAGTTTTAGCTTAAATCCAGGGTTAATTGCTGTAACAACACATATGTCCTGAGCCAAAGGACAGTAAATTTAGCACAAAAGTGAAGGTTAGTTACGATATGACAACTTACTGGTATAGCCTCTGCGATTCGTTGGATGGGCATTCAAATTAGTACAAACTCCAGTGCTAGTGATCATGACAACTGACATGCCCAGTGTACATTTAACCCACTGCCAGGATGAAAACAAACCCAGGGTGAGGTCAAGAATACTTTATACAAGTAGTGTAATACATTTACAATCAAAGCTATTGTTTTAGACTTTTAAAAGCTACACTTACATGTTACAATTTTGAAAGTTTCATGGAATTGAACCCTGGCTTTGAACAACTTGGGCCCTGTTTGACGTAAGGTAAACCTGAGGAGCTGAGCTTCTTATAACTTAATTGTTCCAGTCACCCCCCTTTACCCCCTTCATTTGAAGCTTTCCCCCTGATTCCCACCATAATTTGTGTAAAATAGTTTCATGCTTTGTAGTTTTATACCTCATGGTATTTAGATTTCCAGCAAGTGTATGTCAAACAGAATAGAAAACTCTCTCTCTGGATGGGGTGCCACAAGGATCTAATGGCTAATGAAATAATAGATGAATGACCCAACAACACCCTTGTTCCCAGCCTGAGATCATGCCCTCTTCCTGTCTCTTCACTCCTTGTGGCTAGGGGCGTTTCACGATGAGGGACGTTTGTGCCTTTGCAGCGTAAATTCCATACTCATGGCGTAAATCAATGTTGACATAATTAATCCGGTAGTCATGGGGCTCCAAATGTAAATTTGTTCGATTTTATGTTTCTCCTAGTCAATTATAGTAAAATTTTGTGTTCTTCTGTTAATGACTGAAGCTCTAAAGAAGAATATATTCCACGAATATTGAGTCTTTTGCAGTAGATTCATCACGTTTACCCTTGACCTTTGTGCCTTTTTGTCCATTGTCTGTTGCTCATCAACAAAAGCTAAAACAAGATAACTACTATGTTGACCGATCAGAGCTCCTGACCAGATTCTGGACAGATTTTTCTCATCAGTATGGAATTTCTGTCATCGAGGTGCAGACGTCCCTCCTTGCAAAACATCCTTAGTAGTGAGGAGTGAGGAATGATGGCTGTTTTCGTAGACTGCAGTTGACCCTGTCCCTAAATATAGGAGGTATTTTTTTAAAGACTTGTGAAAGTAAAGGTTTCTTTGAGCTTCGTGGCACCAGCTCTGGTTACTAAATTGATTAAAAATTCAACTTTCAAAATTTCTGAATTAGTTGAAAAATTTAGGAACTGTTAGGTTTGTCAGGGTGCATTTCTTTGGAAGAATCCAAGTTGAGATCTTTGATCTCAGGTTGTTTGGAGGCGTTATGTAAAAGAAATGATACTCCTAAAAATAAGGCTTCTGTAGCGATATTTCTTGTTTGTAAACATTGTTTTTGTCATAGATCTATTCGGCTAACTCAATGTTGCACCCAATTCAAATCTCGCGGGGTTAAGATTCTTTGTGTATTGTATTTGCATTATAATGTGGCATTCACATTTAAATGATATGGAAATTCCTGAAACAAAACGTTTTATTCCCAAAGGGTTTGAATTGGGTACAACATTGAGTTAGCCGAATAGGTCTATTCAAATGTTCCTGCAGAAACATTTAATTTGGGCCTCCTACACTACTTTATTTTTGCAGAAAAGTCAGTTGCCATTTGTACCCTTTGTCGATCCAGTTTTGAAGTTATGCATATATTGTGAATCCAGTGGTAGATCCAAGGGAGGGCCTGCCCCCCCTTGTTGTTACACTAAACTGTTGCACGAAGGACTGAAAAAAATTTTTTGGACACCCCCCCCCCCCCACCTGCTTATCTCATGATCTGGATGACCAGGCCCCTCCCTTATCTGAAGGTCTGGATCCGCCACTGGAGTCCTTCCTTTTTGGATTCAAAAATCCAGATTTGAATATTCTTGGCAAAGAAATGCACCCTAAGATTTAACCCTTTAAATCTCAATAGTGACCAACAACAATCTTCTCCTAACAATGTCAATACATGATTAAGAAAAAAAGTTATGAGAATTATTAATAAAATGATCTCTTTAGGGAAACTGCTTTAATCTTCAAATGAATTATCTCAGCTTTAATAGTCTTTAAGGAAATGTACCGAATGTATGAATGTCAGTCCAGGGAATTTGTATGTTGATATTGAGTCTCAAAGGGTTACTTATTAACCCCTTCATTTGGATTAATCCTATCATGCAAAAAGCGGTGTGCAACAAATGCAGACTGCAGACTTGCAGCTGGCAGGTTAACGAGGTAAACATTATTGTAAACATTAATGTTTACCTCGTTTACCTGCCAGTTAGACCTAAATTTCTTTAGCTTGTTTATTTTTATTTCTCAAAGAAGGTCATGTGATAATACTCTTAAGAACTGTACCTTTCAAATCTTGTCTTATTCCGTGCCATGGAAGTAATTTATGAAAAGACAAAGGGGCGAATTCCCCTGAGACCCTCATTGGCAAAACAAAATGACCTCAACAAAGTTGTGGAGTCCAGCGGTTTTAGCGAAAATAAGGGTATGGGTTGGGTGCTCAATCTCGCGGACTCTTAAAACGTGTCTTGGTCATTCTTATTAAGGGATTTTCGAAAAAAAAGGCCATTTGGGAGTTCCAAAAAAAATCTCACTTTCAAAGCGAGGCTAAGTGCAAAACATTTGTTAATTGGACAATTGCACGATGACGTCATTTTACTACAACTACCAGAATCCTTGAGTTTGTTGTTTTCTTGTGCAAATTAAGGCTATTTTTCTTTAATCCTCAGCGGGATTGACAAATTTAAATAACAAAGCAAAACCGAAATGAATTCTGGTAGTTGTAGTAAAATATCGTCATTGTGCAATTGTCCTTTTGAAAAATAAGTTTTCTTTGGATGACGCGTACAAAAAGTCATTTTCATATCAATAGCTTTGCACCCTCGTTTTGAAACAGAGGCTTAACGGCGTATCCCCAATAAGATCCCAGAAACTATTGCGGGACGCATTTCGGCTCCAGTTCCCTTCTCGTTTCTTAAGTGGCGAATTGCACTATTGGAGTGGTTTTGACGCAGCCAGGTAATTCAATGCCAACACAGTCTCACGCTCATAACAAGCCCCGACTGGCCAACAGAACGTTTTCATATGACGTCATGTGATTCACGTCCCCTATATATGGTTGCGTTCGATTGGGAAATCCGGATTTAGATTTTGAAATCCGGACTCGAACGCAAAATCCGACAATGGATTTCACCTCCGAGAAATCCGTCCTCAGGGTGGATTTCAATTAAGAAATCCAAATCCCGATTTCATGGATTTCCTTTTTACCATTCGATTGGGAAATCCGGAAAAGGATTTGCAAAACTATTCTCGTTAACGGCGGTCTTCTTTTTGCTAATTATGCGTGCGCGTGCAAGAAACCGCTGTTCTTAAGGACAGTTTTTCATTTCCCAATCGAACGGTAAAAAGGAAATCCAAAAACAGATATCTCAGCGTTTAAATCCGTTTTCGGATTTCGCGTTCGATTTCAAATCCGAAATCCGGATTTTAAAATCTAAATCCAGATTTCCCAATCGAACGTACCCTTTGTGTCCCAGAACAATGAAACGATGGCCATTTTGGCGTGCCAAACCATTCCTGTGGGAGATGAGCATTTTTGCCATTTAAAACTTTCTTTTGTTCCAATAAATTTACATAGCTGATCACCACGTCATTGAAAAGTGGTCGTCCCTTTTGGGGGAGCCCCCTTCAGAAATTTGGAGGGGCTTTTGCATCCAATCAGGGCACGGCAAATTTGAGAAAAGATTATTGTTATTGCAAAATGTCATAATAAAGAGTATTTATTTACACATAATAGTGCCCAAATCTACATTTGAATTGCGCCAATCATCAGTAAGTAGAGGAAGAGAATTTTATTTTAGAGCCAGAGTGAACAACAACTTGAAATCTGAACGACATGGGTATCTTCTGCAACTAAACAGGTGAGACAATCTAGTTTTATGAACTTACTCTCCAAACTTGTGGCTTACTGTTACGGCAGTTCAAGACTCGCTCATTTGTTTTTAGGGTAAAGTGTCAACTTCCGGCCTCGCGTCAATTTTTCCGCTTGGAAATATGATTTTGATGATTATTAGCAGCAAATAGCTGCAAAGATTTGTTAAGTAACGATTTTCGTTCCAGAAAACGGCATTCGCTTCGATCAAGGCGACCCAAAACTTAGTGACCGTTTGGAGTTCACAAATGAGAACAAACCGGCGAACCAGATCACCTTCAGTCTCATAGAAGACCATCCAGTTGGATGTTATTTACTTTCCCTTTGGTGACGTCTTCACGTGTATACAGCTTTGTAAAAGGAACGAACAAGAACTGAAACTTGTTTACAGAGGAAAATATGCAAGTATTAAAAAAAATACTATTTCGGCCGGCTTCACTTTCTGCCCAGTATATGTTTACAATCGGGGATTTTTCCCTGCCTTTGTCATTGAAAACCGTCATGCATTATAATTAAGCTTGGAGTTCTGAAAAGGAATTTATTCGCTGGCTCTTGTCATGATCATAGCCGGTTGGCTGCATTTATCGCACTGACTTCTATACTACTAGCTGCTCGCACCTTTCTCCGGTAAACGATTAGAATTTATTTTTGAGCTATTCACGGTGCCGGTGCCCGTTATATTAATATCCAGCGTTCTTGGAATTCTTTTTTGTTTATTAACACATGCAGACGACTGCTTTAGGCTATGCTTTAAAGTGATGGATCAAGGAATGCATTGGGGGAGTACTCCCAATAATGACCTATACGGCGAGGCTCCACCCGAAAGGGGTATCTTTTTCAGGCTTCAGGTATAGTCAAACCCCGTTAATTCCGAGCACTGAGGGGGCCATAGAAAGTGTCCGTATTAAGTGGGTTGGATTTAGAGAAAAATGTAGGGGCTTTCTTTCCCCAGAGACAAAGTAAACTGTCCGTAATTATGAGGTGTAAAGCGGTGTTTGACTGTATATAAAAGGGTAGTGATTTCACCTGTTGAAGTATATATGAAAGGGTAGGGAAATATGGCATTTCGATCTGTGAAAAGGCCTACAATTAAAGGGCCAACAAATGCATTTTTTTGCTGTAAAAAAGTCGAGAAAACGTTCTGGTTTTGTGATGTATTCATGTTTCAGAGACAGCGCATTTACTTTACAGTGCAGTTAAGAATACAAAGTTCTATACCAGGTATGTGAAACGGGTACCATTTGTCAATAGAGGGTATACGAAAGAGGCACTTTTGGGTCAAAATTGGTATATAAAAGGGTAAGGGGTTGGATCTCGGGGTTGAGCCTCCTACCGTAAAACTTTCGTGAGTACCCTCCGGGCTCTGTAACCGTCAACACGATTTAGGGTCGTTAAGGAAAAGGTTCAGAACAATAAAAATTACTAGACCACAGAATCACAATATTCCAATTTTTTCCAGTGTTGCCTGCTCAGTTAAGGCATGGGTTAAGGCATGGGTTAAGGCATGTTAAGGCATGGGTTGAAAGGCTAAAAAGACCCGTCACAGAGAATGGAAAGATCTTTCTCACTAAAATAGTTTTCATCCCAAACATCACGTGATATTCCTTGGACCACGACGGCACAAAATCTGTTTTCTCAAACCGGGCAAGGTTGTTAAACTTCAGGCTAAAAATACTTGTCATCAAATTGTCAGCTAAACTGTCTGGATTGTCAATTAGCCTTGCTGGGTTGATAAAAGTATTTTTATTAAGAGTTATTAAAGTCTTTTATAAGTCACCTGACCTGTTTTGCTCTACTTAGGCATTCATGCAAGGCTATTTCATAATATCCAGGCCATAGGTAAAACACTGGTGCCTAAGAATATGTGCTGCTCTTTCATTTCCTTTCCCCCGTTTTAATTCGAACATTTTGACCATTAACGATCATTTGCAGGTCACGTGTCTAATATTTCATCAATGAATATGTCACATATTGTTAAGGCTACCGAGCCAAAACTGTTTACCAAGTTTCATGACGACTGATCAAAACAATCCGTTTCAAATACCACTTTGTCAAATTATGCAAATTACGAGGTGACCCATGCCTTAACATGCCTGAGTGATTATTTTCATAAAAATCACATTCGTTTATGCGATTGAAGGTTTTACCCTAGTTATCCGTTTGTTAGTAAGATAGAATAGCACGTACTACTTGTAGTCTGGTCCATGTCATGGAATGTTCGCGTTGCAGCGAACAAAGGAAGTTCTTGGCTACTGAAATTGGCTTCTAGACTTGGATAGATGAGGTCAGGGTAAAGTGAAAATGAAATCAATGGATAAATTGATCCTATTAAACATCGCACTGTCCTTCAACACCTCCTTCCGTTTAAAGGAGTTAAAGTAACAAATGCGAGTACAGATCAGAAATTGAGTTGGCAAGTGTAAAAAACAAAAGCATGCCTTACAGAACAAAAACTCACTCCTGGACAGTATCTCTAATTCACCGTTTGCTCCTTGGGAAGATTCCCAAATACCTTCTAACTATTCAAGCAGTTGAACTTATCTGCCAAACCAGCAGTGATGCAGCGGTTTTTGAAATGCATCATAATGACTTCTTTGCAAAAACGTTTC